AAGAAAATAAAGAGAACTAGGTTAGGTTCCGATTACAAGAGGTTTCCCTATGTGTCCATCAATAAATAGCATATAAAAAAGGAAAAAGTTTATATAACGATGCAATCTTATAATGTAGAACTACGAATGCACTTCAAAAATCCATCGGAAAATGTAGTTTTAATGTTGAAAATCCTTTTGATTGATCATCTCGACATCGAGATGTATGACCATGAAAAAAAAAAAACTTAAGTTTAAGAAATAGTGTATTTTACAGCATATTATCTATACTGTTTATTTTTAAGATTTTCATATGTTTATAGATTTATTTGATTTTAATTATTTTTGAAATTTAAAATTTTATAATTAGATATAACGATAGATTTTGAGATAATTTGAAGAACATTTTACATTAAAATTATATATTATGATAAAATTAGGAGGTGCACCGTAGTGGGATTTTTTACTGTTGCAACTGTATGGAAACCACACCCTAAAAAAAAAAAAATAAAAAAAAAATAAAAAGAAAAGAAGAAGAAAAATATAAGTTCATTCATTATTGCGTATAAATAACAAAATGCCATAGAAGTTGATCTTATGTGTTCAAGGGTGTATGATGTCTCACCACAAACTTTTACTAAGAACTAAAAATTTAAATGTTTTCTTTTAAACTGCGTTTTTTAAAATAGATCCTCATATTTAGCATGCATAAAACACTATTAATAAATATTTTCTTGATGGATCAACCATACAGTGTAGTCCCTTGGGTGCACTTTAAAAAAATATACTTTAACATCCTCGAGTAGTGTGAACTTATATTGTAAAGACAATACTCTATCTTATAAATATAAAGTATTTTATCTTATTTTATATTTTATTGTTATAATGAAATTGATTCATTATTAAAAACTAGTTTCTTTTGTACTTGTCACCAACCAATAGTAAAAATGTCAGTTTATTGTATGTTCCATCACATGCTATACGAAAAGAAACTCTTATTTTTTAAAACAATTCGTAACATTTTTATTTTCAGATATTCATAATATCACACACACTATAAATTTCTTTTAAATCCATAAATGCCATGACATCTACTTCCTGAGGGATCATAAACACAACGTACTCCTAAGGGAGCATAATGAAACAATATTTTTACGCAAGATGTTTGAACCATGCTAACATTAAATACTAAAATCCTACACCCCACGAAGTTACTTTTTATTTCTTCCAAAATAACCAATATATTTTTACTAAAGATAATGTTCTCCATTACTATTTTTTAATGGAGTACATTTCATAAATACTATAAATTAGTAAAAAGAGCACAATAAAATTTGATTTTTATAAACATCCATTTCTTGAAAATTTAATTCACATGGATACTTCTATGAGTCCACGACTCACATGTAGATATGCGGGCCCCTTAATAATGTATTTTTCAAATGGAATTTGATCCTAATTTCTGGGCAATATATAATCTTTAATATGAAGATTATTGATCTGTAAAAATAAATAAATTTAAAAAATTAGAAATGATATTTTTAGAGAAAATATTTGAATCATTGATATTTCTTTTTCTTTGGAGTACTGTTTATATGATCCCATTTTAGTGGATGGAGTAGAGCTCCAAGCCCGCATAGCAACAAGTGCGGCCTTGGATGCACCAAACATTTTTCCAATTCATATAAATAATAATTTCTTTTTATGAGCATAAATTCAAGAAAAAGGGTCAAATTTTTAAAAAGATTAATTTAAACTCAAAAAAATTATAATTATATAAAAAAATAGATTTTGAAGAATCAATATGTAACTAAATTTCATGGCTAAAATACTTTTCAATCTTTGCCAAAACGATAAAACACATGAATAAATATGTTACAGATATATTTATTTATTTTTTATATATATATATTTTTTTGAATTTTTTTAAGATCCCCAAGTTGGATCCCTACTTAGAAAAACTTGGGCTTGAGCTCGGCTACTGCCAGAGTCCGAACTGACTTTGCTGATTTTTTAAACGGAATCCACTATAGCCATCTAACGGATTCAGGATTTCCCATCTAACCCTGATATAGGGTAGTTTAAAATGGGTGTTTTAATGTTTTATTTCAAATTAGTTTGTTATTATTTTTTCATATTAACTAAAAATGGTCAAAATCACATCAACATTCAATTTAACTGACTTTTAAAATTCAAAAGTTTAAAAACCTCGGGAGAGATTAAAATTTATTGTTTTAAATGAAATTCTAATTCAATTTGAAAAAGATATATTTCTCGAAATACAAAACTAGAATCATGATTTTTTAAAACAGTTTTAAATAAATTCTATATGCTGGTTATTTTCTTTTAAATAAATTTTATACAAATTGATTGGGTGGCACAACATAGGGCAACCATATAAATGTCATATTATACTAGTAAAAAATTAATTAAAGTCGAACTTATAATTTAGTCTAGAAAAATCACAATAAAGAACTTCATTTTTTCATATTTTAGGCCATGTAACACTCATGACTATTTAAACTCCATAATGAAACAATAAATCCAGTTCAAATAAATCCTACATTCATATTAACTTCTTTAGGATAAATTTTGCACAAATTGAGTGGGTAGCACAACATAATGCCACCACAAAAATGACTCATTGCACTGTTCGAAGCACTAGTTTTTAGTAGAACTTATATTGAATAGATTAGCTATATTCATTGGTGTAGGATAGCCACAAGTTATTTTAAAGGATCTAAAACTACTTCCGTTGGTTGTCATACATATTAATTTACTCTTAAGAGTTTTTTTCACATATAAAAACTCTAAATAAGACCATAGAGCTTGACTGGAGATAGAAAATACATATCTAGAGAGAGAAAAACTAATAGAATGAACAAAGAAAAGTAAAAGTCTATAACATAGATAATGAAAAAGTTGAGGAAGTTAAACATATTTTTTGAGGGGTTTTACGGGCTTCTAGGGGGATAATAATTTTAGAAGGGGATTTCGTCTTTTTTCCCAAATTTCTTCCACCATTGGAGGCTCGGATGTGTGTGGATTTAGAGAGCTCTAAAAGGTAGCCCGTGTGAGTGAGCGTGTTCTCATGGAAGCAATTATGCAGCAGATTTCCAGTCTACTTTCGAGTTTTTACAGCATGGGTGCACCATAAATGGACAATTCACAAATCAGATCTAGAAACCTGTTTGGAAATTCAAACTTCAATAGCAGAGGCTTGGATACCTCTTATTCTTGATTTTTGATGATGAAGTTTGAGTGCTCTCTCTCTCAAATTGTATCGAAAACAGTGTAACTCATCTTTTATTTCTGTATAACCCGAGTACAATTATAACATTCCTCCTAAAAATAACACCTCTGTGATATCTTACACTGCCAAGGAATGCATTGGCCTCAAATACACATTTACCTCCTAAATTACAATTTGTAGAGAGAGAGGGAAGGACCTATTCACACCGAATTACAACACAAAACTTAATCTCGAACCAAATGTACACACGCCAACAAAGCAGCCTAAGAACCCCACAAAATCAGAAACCAGTGTTTCCTCTACCATGTATCAGAAGAAGCTTCTTCCAACAAGTCGCCAAAGACGGCCTCATCTATCAAGTCTTCAAAGATCTCTTCTTCAATTTCTATTATCAGTTGTTCTATATCGACTCCAAGGTCCATCCAACCTTCCCTTCTCTCCAAGTCTCTTTTAGAGAGAGAGTCCAATGTATTGGGTAGTATTTCTGACTGTAAATGCCATCTAATTCCTGTCCATACCTCTTCCAATACATGCTTACTGGTTGGGATAGGCCGAATGTTATTTCTAGAGAGAGAAAACCATAAGGAATAACCAAAATACCTCTTGTAAAGCTCCACAAGAACCTCATTGATGCAATCAAATATGAGGTGCCTCTGATCTTCATGAATTTGACAAGATGGGTATGCTACTTCATTGAATAGAGAAAAGTCCAATGGCTCGTCTGATGAATGCCAGCTCTCCTGAAACCCGCCCTTGCTGAATCCGGAGGCCTCAAGCACGTCGCTTACGTACTCAAATATGGCTGCATTTCTCTCAATGGAAATTTTCGGGTCTCTGTAGCTCTTGGGCTCTTTGAATTGGATTCTTCGTGGTTCTATATGGAGCTCTTCAGCGAATCGTGATGGAGTTTGTCGCTCATCAATGATTCGAACTGAAAGGAAGAAAGAGTGAGAAACTATATGAGCATCACATTATCTCTATTGGCAAAGACTACTAATGCAAGTTACTAAATGTGTGTTATTTTAGGCTGGTGAATGTGTTATGAGAATCTGTGTGCGTGTGTGTGTTATGAGTTATGAGAATCTCTCTCTCTCTCTCTCTCTCTCTCAATCATAAGGAATTGAATGGTTGCCTTCCATTCCAAAACTGGTGGGAGGGAATACAGATTTAATATGACACTCAATTGCAGAGAAAGTGATGTCTTGCTTTTCTTAGTGTCCGTTTATCATAAGTTCAATATCAGTCGTCATTTTTCAGAGAAAAAGCTAGGAGAAAGGAAAAAAGTACAAAGGCAAAAATATAGGTTGTCTTTGCTTCCAAAACTAGTAGTTTGTTATAGATCTTCATAAAAAATGACGGCAATTTGATAGTTTGTTATAGATCTTCACAAAAAAACGAAAAATCTAGTCATATGGATATAAGGAAAATGCACCTTGTCGAGGGCTGAGGGAGCTTGCAGGACTGAGCACATCTTCATGGAAAGATGGATCCAGAACCGATATAGGACTTGGTAGCTCTGGCTTTTCACATATGCTCTCCAAGGCCTCAGCTTCATGGATTAGTGAATAGCTAGATGAGAAGTAACGAGTTGGGGAGCTCGATGGTGATTTTACCACGGTTGTTTCCTGCAAAACCAAAAGCAAAAATCATATTCTTTATTGACATTTTTCTTGCCAATTTATTTCTGTATCATTATTTTTCTTTTCCAGTTAATGGTCAACAAACTTCAAGCATTTTGTTGATGGACCAATCAGCTGACTCGCCAAACACGGCATGTGAAATGAATGGACTTTGTTCTCTTCTATTTTCTGAATTTCTATTATTCGGGGGCCTCTCCCCTCTCACTGTATCTTGCTGTTACCCTGTATCAGCTGCATCCCCCATCCCACCCCCACCCCCACCCCCACCACCCCCCCCCAAAAAAAAAAGAGAAAAAGAAATCACTCTCTCTTAGTGCCATGCTCTCTTGCTGTCATAGTCTTTAACAGGCTTTGAGCACCTGATGTGCAGGTGCTTTCACTTCTATTTTGAGAAATGTAAATTTTTTTTTGTACAGAGCGCCGAGCTTGGGTGCTGCCTTACCGCTACTCCTCGTGATGACCTCTGTAATTCTATTACTATAAATACATATTGTCAACATTTCAGACCAAACAAAAATCAAGCATTTCGTTATGACAGTATAATGCATGATAACAAGCAAACTCCTGTATCACTTTCAATATTGGGGACTAAATGAAGAAAAGACAAGCATTTAAGTTTTGCAAGTCTTGTTTCTTCTTTCAAAATAGAGAACATCATTTCCGAGTAGGAGTTATTGTGCATGGCCTCTCTCTCTCTCTCTCTCTCTTAGACAAACACATCCATGAACATGCAAATGCATGCACACGAGCGCGTGCACACACACAATAAATAAATTTCATTGAAAGGATAATATATGTACAAAATTTACCAGTAGAGGGACTTCTTCAATATTATTCTTTTGGAGGTCAAAATGAGAGCATTTGCAGCTTGATTCTCTTGCTTCCAAGACTCTTTCTAGGGCACAATTTTCAGTTGTATCTGTGAGAAGGTTCTCCTTTGTGTTTTCTGAAGTGGTTCCAATGCTTTCCGGTTCTTCGGTAACATGCAACACATCACTGCCTTCTGTTCTTTCCATGTGATCGAGATCACTTATCTCATTATCAGCTGTGGAAGCCATCTCATAAATCAACTAGTCTTGAACAAGAAAAGTACAGAGACAACAAATAGACCTATAACCAAAATGGCCATGATATTAAATAAATAATTCTGAGATATTTTTTATGTATATTACAGATGCACTTCCTATCCAAACACATGCAGTGTGTTACTCCCGAAATTTCTCATCGAGGTAATTAAAAGAAAAATTTCCAATTTTTTTATTCTTGCTGGAGTTCATGCGCCAATTTCAGGAAGAACCAAATATAAGGGAATATTTACAATCATAAAAACAAGGGTATAAAGAGACATAAAGAACACGATATTTTTCCTATATTTTTCAAGATGTAAGTTCTTAAAAATCTATATACACACACATGCATTCACATTTACCAGAAAACAAATATGCTATTTTTAAAAGGGCCTCACTGAAAATATTTACCAGAAAACAAACATGGTTGGAAGTAGTGAGAAAAGATATAAAGATTTATGGCCTCACTGAAGGTATGGTCTTAATAGGACAGAATAGGGAACCAGGATTTGTATAGCCGACCCCAATTAGTTGGAAAAAGGCTATAACAATGATGATGATGATATGCCATTTTTCAAAAAGTTACAATAAATAGTAAAAACCGAATACTACTAAAGAAAATATCAATTTTTTTTAAAAAAATTCAGAGACGCTTTTGCAGTATCTTCTGTAAAACAGAGTTATGAGAATAGTCAAATTTTTAACAGATTTGTCAACTGTTGTTTAATGAGCCTGTTAGTTTTTTTATTCTCACTGATTGATTTCCTAGTCTGGTTCCTCTGAACAAGAATTTCTTAAAACATTTGAAAACGAGGAACGAGGACTGAATCCCACCCAAGAGGTTTACTCCCGCTAGCTTAGCAAAAAGAAAAAAAAGATACCTGATGGAAATAAATCTTCTACAGAAGGGATGCCCTCATCTTTTCTCTCACTACCAAGCTCTTTTGGGGTCCTTGGGCTTGATTGAAGATCAGGTCTTATGCAATTTGAGCTTACTTTATCAACAATAGTAGAACTCTCAATGCCAGAATTAGAAACTCTAGACATTTCTTCTGAGAGATCCATATTCCAATGCACCTGCTGCAGTGCACTTTCTGATTCATAATCAGAAGTATTGTAGGGCTTCCTCTCCCTTATAGCAATTAACCTTGGTGACAATGCATTATACTCAGGCAAATCAAGTATTCTCCCTAAGGTTCTTGGAGCCTGTTTGGGGCTCTGCATATCCTCTTCATTCTCTGAACTCAATCTTTCTCTGAGATGCTTTCTGGCTTCTCTACTAACTGGAGAAAGAGTTAAACTTGAAGTCCCAAGACCGTTGAGGTATAGTGAATGTAAAGAATCAGTCTTTAAGTGAACTTGGTTTAGTTTTAGTTTGCCTCCTCTCTCTCTCCTGCTGGTAGGTGTGGTAGTTTTAGAGTTTCTCTCACTATCCCCAGAATTACCACTAGTTATATCTGTTTCTGTGGTCCTTTCAACATCCATTGCGACCGTGCTATCGAGTTGTTTTAAATGTTTGGCCCCATAAGGAGCTCTATGAAGAAAACCATCCATACTTAGCCAAGGCCCTTTTTTGTTGTCACCTATTGCATGCTTAATCCTTTGTTTAATTTCTTTGAGAGAGAAGCCAGCTCCTTTGCCTAATAATTCACATTCAGTCTTATGTGAAGAACTTGGATTTGATCCAACTGCATCTTGGTGAGCAGTTGCTAGGCTAGGTTTCAACAATACTATTCTGGTTGAGATTTGGGGACCATTAGGCATTGAGTGCAGACCTTCAGATTTCTCTCTTAAAGGGTCTCCACTCTTGGCTTTCTCTCTCTTCCTAAAACTTTTATGCCCACTAGGCTTCTGATGTTTTCTCTCGTTGGGAAGCTCCACAGGCTCTACGTTTTCACTAAGGAGAAGCTCTGATAACTTGGATTCTTCAAGTGATTTCGATGAATTTCTTTTTGATTTCTTAGTCTGAGCATTCCTTAATGCCTGGATATGCTTCACTAATACTGAATCTGGATCCTGAAGGAGCTTTAAAAACAATTCCTTGTTTGAATTTAATATCTCTAGGGCATCAAGAAGTTCCTTGGGGTGGGGCGTTGTTCCATCTTTGGTTGCATCCATGAACTTCTGGTTAAGAAAGGCCTCTGCTGCTTCTCCCAACTTCTCCTGAAGAAGAACTTGTTTCTCAATAAGCTGCTTATCTAGCCCATCATGGTGGTTAGCATGGTTCACTTCTAGATGAGATCCTAATCTTGGATCGGGTATGAGCCCACAGGCTAGAGCACTGTTAATCTGCTTCTTTGAATGATTTTCTTTGATCGCTTCATTCACCTTCATTGGCACATTTTCTTCTGTTTTTTTATTGACCTGAGGCATAAAAAGAACCAATTTAAATTTAGTGATATTATGCTACATAGTATTGCATCGAGGGAGGGAGGGATGGATTATCCATGGTCCCCAATATGACACGTTACAATAAAAGTTTCTGTTGTTAAACCTTTGAACAGAACCCATCTCCAGTGTAATCTACTAGTGATGTAAGGGAAAAAGTAACTTCATACGTATGATAGGCTTACCGGTACTCCTGAATCGATGGTTTCCTGTTTTTTATCAACTCCAGGGAGCATGTTGAGTGTACTTTTTGAATATCTATTACCTGAAAAGTGATAACATGTAACGATTAGCATATGAAACCAGTAAAAAAGTATCCAGGGGAACGAGAAAGCAACTGCATAAACTGTAACAGATCCCTTCTGACAATTACCAAATGTCTTACTACTGCAACTTTGCAATTCCATTCTCCTTGGTAAACTTTAATAAATTCATAGCTCGTAGTTTTTACGGCTATTGTTTGTTTTTTCTATTGAACATACACCAATACAGAGAGAAACACTTTCCTGGCTTTTCAAGAGCGGGAGATAACCAACAAATCCACAGCTATGCTATACTAATATGGCATAGCTAGAGAGGATGATTAGACATAAGCTAACTATTGAAAACAACATCCGTTCGAGGACTTGTTCTACTGTATACAATGTGATTCCCTAAACCTGAATGCCATAGTAATTTGATCAAATTTAGTGAAACATAAGAAAATAAACATTCTGGGCCCAGCAAAGTATCAAAAGGAATACAATGAACACATAGTACTTTGATATGCTTTTTAAGCAAGATAGAAAAGCGAAGTAACTCGGACACAGAAAAATAAGGGGAAAAAGGAAAAGGGTAGCTTGAATTAAATATGCTTCAGTAACTGCACACGAAATTTCAGGCGCTACAAGATACAGCCTTATGCAGCGATGCCCTCACCAATAGCATATCTAGCACTTCCATGCCTCCTGTCTGCAATCAACCTTCTAATTGAGTGGCTGTGGCGAGTGTCAAAGATACTCAGCAGTCCCCATATGCATCCTGGATGGTCTTTTTCAGTCCTTATGGACCGCCTCTGTTGAGAAATCTTTGCCATGATAGACAGAACCAATGTTGAAAAGATTCTCACTCATACAGTAAGCTCCAGCAAAACAACATTAAACCTGATCACAAACACCAGAGAGAGTCAGGGAATACATTCGTTTCGATGAAGTTCTATATTCGATGACACTCCTAAACAAGATAACTATGTATTGGAAGAGTTTTCAAGTATGCCTTTTCTGGGAATTGAAATGTATCACATAGAATTATCACTATAGTTCAGCATGGACTATGCAGTCTGATAACAATTAATTTCTTCCAAGCTTATGCAAGAAAGGGAAGAGAAAGTTATCTTCCCATTTTAATATTTACGTTTCCACAAATTGAAACCCAAATAGGCTTGTGGTTATGGAAGTCTGCATAAAGACATGGAAAAGAAGGGCGAAAGTAGTGGGTGTCCAAGAACTAGGTGGTGGAATTTAAAAAAATAAGAAAATTGACTTATTTAGGGATAAATTAGTTGAGGAAGGAAAATGAAATTCTGAAAATGATATCAATGTCATATGGAATGAAATGACTGACTGTATCAAGAAAGTGGCAAAAGAAGACTTAGGAGAATCTAGGGAAAAGAAATTATAATAAGGAAACTTGGTGGTGGAATGATGAGGTTCAAAAGGCCATTAGCGAGAAACGATCATGTTATAAAACTTAACGGTGTAATAGAAATGATAAAAACTTAGAAGAATATAAAAATGCTAAGAAAAACGTTAAACAAATAGTAACTAAAGCTAAACTTAAAGCATATGATAATCTATATAACAAACTAGGAACAAGAGAAGGTGAAAAGTTGTCCTCAAATTAGCAAAAAAACGAGAGAAAAAAATGTAGGGATCTAAACCATATTAAATGCATTAAAAGTGAGGATCAAAGGGTCTTGGTGAAGGATGACGAGGTCAAGGAAAGGTGGAGAGTTTATTTTCAAAAACTTTTAAATGACGAATACAATGGGAACATAACAGTAGAAGGAACTGTTGGTATAAATGATGGCGGAGGTCATAGATACATTCGTAGGATTAGGATGTCGGAAGTAAAAGAAGCTTTGAAAAGGATGAGGATAGGAAAGGCTTTAGGACCAGATGGTACCCAATCGAGGTTTGGAAGTGCATAGGGGAGATTGGTATTTATTGGTTGACGAAGCGGTTCAACAAGGTGTTGAGAACCAAGAACATTGCAAACGAATGGAGGACAAGTATTGTGGTACTTATTGTCAAAAATAAATAAGACATACAGAATTGTGCGAACTATCGAGGGATCAAGCTTATGAGCCATACTATGAAGCTCTGGGAGATAGTGATTGAGCAACGACTAAGCCATGAAACGAGTTCACCTGAAAACCAATTTGGTTTCATGCTAGGAAGATCAACAACCGAAGCTATTTTTCTACTTAGATAACTGATTTAGAAGTTTAGGGTGAAAGGAAAAGACCTCCATATGGTCTTTATTGATCTAGAGAAAACTTATGATAGAGTACCTCAAGATTTGATTTGGCGGGTGTTGGAAAAGAAAGGAGTCTCCAAGCACTACATCGACTTGGTGAGAGATATGTACGATGGAGCGCTAACTAGTGTACAACCTATTAGTGGAGAGACGACTGAGTTTTCAGTGAGAACAGGTCTACATCAAGGGTCAGCATTGAGCCCATATGCTTTGTTTTAGTTATGGATGACTTACTTAAGCACCTACAAGATGAGGTAACATGGTGAATGTTGTTCACAGATGACATAGTTTTGATTGATGAGACCCGGAATAACGTTAACACAAAGTTAGAACTTTGGAGCGATGCTCTAGAATCCAAAGGTTTTAAAATTAACCAGACTAAGACAGAGTATATAGAATGCAAGTTCAGCAATAATAGGAGTAGAGAAGAGGAAGTAGTAAAGATTGACGGCCAAGAAGTACAAAAAAGACTGTACTTTTGATATCTTGGGTCGATAATCTAAGAAAATAGAGAGATTGAGGACGATGTTACATACAAAATTAGAGCTGGGTGGGCGGAGAGGAGATGAGCAACTAAAATTTTATGTGATGCCTCATAACAATAAAGCTGAAGGGGAGGTTCTAAACATAGCTGTGAAACCAGCTTTGCTTTATGGAGCAGAATGCTGAGCAGACAAAAAACAGTATACCATTGAATGAGTAGTGGAGATGAGGATGTTGAGATGGATTAGTGACAAGACAAGAAAGGATAGAATTCGATATGAATCTATTCGAAAAAATTTAGGAGTGGCACCAATTGACGATAAGATGAGAGAGAGTAGACTTCAACGGGCTGGCCATGTGTGGCGCCGACCCAATGCAGCACTTGTTAGGAGGTGCGAGTTAGTTCAAGTTGAAAAATTGAAAATGGCAAGGGGTAGGCCCAAAAGGACGTGGTTGGAAGTAGTTTGAAAAGATATGAGGACTTGTGGCCTCACTGAGAGTATGACATTTAATAGAATAGGCTGGTAGACCAGGATTCGTGTGGCCGACCCCAAATAATTGAAAAAAGGCTATGATGATGATGATGATGATGATGATGAAATTGAAACCAAAATAGATTTTCAGTTTTGTAAGGTTTTGTTTTCAACAAATACAATGCAATTCTTTCATGCAAACATCCGGTAAATATCATGATAACATATTCTTTATAAAAATTAAAAGTAAATTGTAATCATATGAATAAGAAAAATCAAAATAAACTGCATTACTCTTTAGCAAACACCACTTTCCTGTAGTAAAAGTTTGAAAACTTTCCCAGTATGCATCAACTCAGAGAAAGCAATGAACTACATAAAATTCATAAGATTTGTGCTAAAATGAGAACACCTCAAAGATTCTAGTTAGGATACAGAATTTGAGAAAGGAATAGAACAAACATAACTGTTGTCTTCAAAGCATATTACTAGGACAAGATCGCTTCGACTTCCAGAAACAGATCCATAACTCAAAGAAGAACAAGAATTCAGTAGAAAAGCCACCAATGATTTACAAACAATGTAGAAGACAATGAAACAAAATCTCAACGAAGAAATGCTCATCTGAAAAGGGTGAAAAAAATAAAGACATGCCAAAATTCACGAAATAAATCACACAAGAGAGGAATTTACAGCAGAAAACATGAATGATACTCTGAAGGAAGCCACAAGCATTAACTATGCTTTGGTCTGTTCTTTTTGATAATTATGCCAGGCTTCCAAGTGAAACTGCAAAATGCATGACTAAAACAGGAGAACAGCACAAAACACATAAGAAAACACAATGAACTTCAAGGTAAAGCTGAACCAATGAAATCCTAGAGAAGCAAATACAGAGAGACCCCCCTAGTTTCATAAGCATATCAGAAATTGAAACAGGGAGTGAAACAATATAAAAAACCAAACTAAAGAAAAGAAACATCAAGCACAGAAGTGAACAGTTTCAAGTAAGACCATCCAAATGCCCAAACCAGAAATTATGAAGAAGGGAAAAGTTAAAATACTATAAAACATATCACATTGAGCCAAATAAGCCTACAAAAACAAATATGCAAATTTAAATATGCTTGACAATTAAGAAGGGATTCAAAAGGGAATATAAAATGGAAACAAAGGCACAAAATCAAATTGGAGCAATAAACTAGGAGAACCAATGACTGGCCAATTAAAGGAAATGAAATGAATGGCATATCTGAACATTATGCAGGAAAATGCAAACCCGAGAAAATGAAACTTCCAACATAAACAAGGAAAATACAAAAATTGGAGAAATAAAAAAACACTATCCCGCAAACCTTAGAGAGAAAACTGTGAAAATGCACAAAATTCAAAAGAAATGAAGAATATGAATTCATCATAACATGTTACATCCCAAAAGGAAAACAGCAAACCGCCCAAAAAAGGGTAATTGAGAGCATTAAGTAATAAAAAAAAAGAGAAAGAATAGAAAACAGGAAATTATAAACAAAAAAGTCTAAATAAAAGAAAGGCTGGACACCTGGACATAATAACATCATCCTTACTTATCCTAAAAAAGATATCATTGTTATACTATTTAAAGATAAAGAAATGGGTGCACGAATTACAGAAGTGTTTTTCTGGAAGGCCACGTAAAGAAGAAAATAAGAACCAGAATGCAGATGAATCAAACAAACTTGGTATAGATGATTTTCGTGTTTGCCTTATCAATAGAAGGATTGGTATAAACCACATTAAAAAAAGGAAAAAGTTTAGATAAGGTTGCAACCTTAAAATATAGAATTAAAGGTGCACCTCAAAAATCCATCATAAAAGGTTGTATGGATGTCGGAAAACCCTTAATTAATCATCTCGACATCGAGATGTATGAATATAAAAAAAAAAAGATTTTGAGTCCACGAAATAATGTATCTAGCAACACATTATTTGGACTGTCCATTTTCAAGATTTTCATGTGTTTATCGATCTACTTGATTTGAACCATTTTTAGAGTTTAAAATTTTATAATTAGAGATGAAAATAGATTCTAAAGCCATCTTAAGAATTTTTTATATCAAAATTGCATTTATGATAAATTTTAGAGGTGTACCTTAATTGGATCAAGGTTGCAACCTTATGCAAACCACACCCTTAAAAAAAAACTCAGAAGAATAGTTCAAGGATAAAAAGTACGAGATAAGGAATCTAGAATAAGAAAGAAAAAAAAAAGATAAGTTTATTATTATTATTATTATTATTACTATTATTATTATTTTTATGAAACTGAAACAAAGAGATGGTTTTGCTAACTTGAAGGGATCAAAATTACAACTTTCATCAAAAATAAAATTATATAAATTAGAAACTTAATCAACAAATCCAGGCTCCAAAATAGGTGTTAAATGCATATGAACTCTAAGAGCAAATATATAGCTGAAAAAGAGTGATTAGATAGAATTAAGAATAGCAGGAAAAAGATAAAAATAAGTAAATAATCTCACACAAAACAACCACATCTACTTCCAGATTTCCAGGTCCACTAAATGCTCAAGCAAGCAGAAACAAAGCAACAAAAAGCATACATTACAGAATTGAAATCGAACAAACTTGTGCAACAACATATAATCAATGAAAATGTTTGGGACTCAATTAAACAAAGGACAGGAATTCATAATAAAAACCAATAAACAAATTATTGGTAGTAGCTAGAAAGAGTGTAATAGTACCTAATAGGGAATTCAAGATGAAGTTGCAAAGGACTAACGGAGTCAAAATTAATGAGCAAAAACAGAAAACATAAAAAAAAGAAATGGTAAATAATCAATGCAAGGATACCTGTTAAATCTATTTGTCAAGGATCCTTCCTACTTCATTTCTTAGATTTTGATAATAAACAATATATAATCTGAAATCAAGCCATCCAAGACCCTAAATTCCAGTAGAATTGAAATTTATGAATCACACCATCATAGACAAACCTGACGTTTGAAAACTGAACTGCCAGACAGGAAAAGCGGATTTCCATGATCATATACATGATTGATCACAGAAATTCATGATTCCAAGGCTTAAAGAATCAGAAAGAAAACTCGTACAAAAAAACAAATTACCAGTCAATTTCCTCTAGAAGGGACAAAAGAGCAGTAGAAATCATAGAATAAACCCTCAAACAAGCAAACACCAGCTATCATAAAGTAGAAAGTGGCAGAAATATAAAAATAGGGAATAATTTCGTTTAAAGGAGTCGAAAAAGCAGAAGAAGGGAAAGCAATAGAATGAACCCAGGATGAAGCAAACACAGGCTAACTTTCAAACTACAAAACTGGTTTCCTTTTTTGTTGATAATTCAGATTAGCATGCTTCATAGAAGTTATATGTACATAACGAAAGAAGAAAAGAAAAATAATTAAGAAAACAGTGGAACAAACCCTAGACGAAGCAAACACAGGCTGGCCTTAAAGGAGCAGAAAGAAAGCCAGAGACAACCATGAATTTCTTAATAAGCGTATCATAAAAAGGCTGATATAGCAAAGAATAATTGCCATAGAATCTTACCCCTGCGTCTAAAACAAAATATCACTGAAAATTAAGAAAAATAAATTCTTTTCCCCCTTTATCTCTCTAATTAAAGAGCCATTAGCATGCAATTGAAGCTTTTTTCTCTTTTTATTTACCAAAACGAACTTTATTTCCTCTTATGGCTTCAACTTTTCAACAACGCCAGAAGAACTAAAGCTTCTTCTTTTAGTCCACTGAATAAACCGTGAAGTGATGCAAAAAAATCTTACCGGAATCTTGGAAAGCAAGCAATAGTGAACATCCAGTGCAATTGAAGCTTTTCTTCCTTTGCTTAAGTTCTTCTCCATTACTAGAAAAATCAGAGCTTTATTCTCTTTTTTCATTCAACTTAGAACAATTCCAATAGCTTCATTTCTCCATAATTTTCTACCTCTCTACCATTAACAAAGCAACCGAACTTTCCACTGAAAACCAGAAGATTCAGAAACTTCTCTCCCGTTTCCTTACAGAATTTTCACCACTCTATTTCAACTTCCCACCATGCTCAGTGCTTTTTCTACCCAATTTTCTAACTTTCCGTCATCACAAACGAATCAAAATCTGCTTTTCCATTTGTTTATAGTTTCTAACCATTACCACAACAGAAGATTCAAAGCCTTTGACCCCCTAGTTCCCAAACTTTTACGCCACCACCAAAGAATCGAAGCTTTCGACCTAATTTTTTCAGCTTTCGGCCATGGCCATAACGGATTTAGGCAGCCTTTGAGGAAATGAAGAGAAGTGTGTAAGCTTTATCAGACGTGCAAGCCATGGCTGAGAGAGAGAGAAAGGCCACCATAGTGCTTTTACTTTTGCCAGGTCACAGGGCTTTGCAGATGTGGCCATTGTTGCAAAGGACAGGTTTATGCTGTGTCTGCAAATGCTTTGATGCTTGGCCACGGCTGCCTGCTAATAAAGTACTTCCGTTTTTTCTAGAGAGAGAAAGGAGTGGGTATACTTTTTTTTGCTAGAGAGAGAAGGAAACGGATTCGGACATTAGGTATCCACTAAGGCATTTTCTAGAGAGAGAAAAGAATGTGGTTTTTCTTTGTTAGAAAAGCGAATGGATGGGGTGACTAATATGGAAAATTGTTTCATGCGGGATGGACCGTATAACTACACATGCGGTCCAAAAAAAAAGTGTAAGTATCTATTTTAAAAATGGATGGATATATGCAAGTACGTGTTTTATCAAAAAAAAAATAAAAAAACAATAAAAATTGATGGTTCAAATGTTTTTTTTTTTTAAATTTATTATTTTTAATTTTTTTAAAATTTATTTATTTATTTTATATTCATGATCTTTTTAAAAATTAAATTTTTAAAAATTAAGTCTAAAAACCTATCTCAAAAATAAATTTATTAATAAACGTGTATTTCTACGTATGCGGGGGTTGGCTGCATACAAAACCGAGACAGTCTAATAAACCATGTTTTATTTAGAGAGAGAAAAGAAATAGTTGGCGTACAATGCAGTATTCCATGCTTTTTTTTGTTTCATTTTTTTTGGTTTTTCTGGTGACGTGGAAAATTAAATGGTGACGTGGCTTGCCGGTTTCTTTACGCAAACACTTCAGTCCTCTCTCTCACTCTCTCTTTCCGTCTCCGCAAGCACTCTCTCTCTCCTCATCTCCGTCCAACAACGACAATAAGGGCATCGTGCCGAACGTTTTCTCCCTAGACAAATTTTTTTTTAGCGTAATATAATGATCCTTCGGGAGTATACTATACATATACTCCATCTGGCAAATACTGATTTGGGAGATTTTGAAATTTGGAGATCTATATACTTACAACTGGATGATTATTTTCAAATGAAAATGGAGTAATGATCCTGTAGGACTCTGCTTCACCCATGTATCTAAAAAAGTTATCGTATGGGTGTGGGACTTGACTTTTCTATAGATCAGTACCAAATTTAATGGTGATCCTTTGAGGTCCTACACATATGGGTGAGGAGAGTCCTATAAAATCATTTATCATGAAAATGTGGATTTTGAATTCTTAAATATCTAGATCATTCCCTCCAAAGATTGAACGGTTTTCGTGCAATCTTGAGATCTCATATGTTTTAAGCATGTAGGGAGTGAGACTTATTTAATTATTTATTTGAAGTTGGTTGACAAGTTCTAAAGATTACATCCCCAAACTTGGAATCTACAAGATATCCCTAGGGTAAACTTTGGATAGATCCCCCTACTTGGGATCTACAAGATATCCCCAAACTTGGGATCTACAAGATTACATCCCCAAACTTGGCAATAAATACACAGTATATTCCCCATATAATAAAATATCTCTTGGCCTGCTTTTTAAGAATGAATTAATAGAACCCTTTAGATAATAAGAAGAAATTTTTTATGTACGGATCCAAAAACAGGTTTCGAGTGGCATTACCAGGTCCAGGTGCGATCCAAATGACTTCGGCCATCCCAGGTGGAGGTCACTTAGACCCTATTGGGTGGGATCTAGGTTGGACTTAACCCGGCCCAATCCATCCCGGTATATATAAATATAAAAAATATAGGACCCCGTTTCTATGCGGCCAAGCCCGCATATGTAGACATGCGGGCCTCTTTATAAAACTATTTTTGAGATGGGTTTTAAGACTAAATTTTTAAGGACATGTAATCTCTAACATAGAGATCATGAATATGAAAAATTATATAATTTTTAAAAACTAAAAATAATAATTGTAGTAAGAAAACATTTAGACCGTTAGTTTCCATTGTTTTAGATGGAACACCTACTTGCATCCATCTTTAAGATGGATGCTTTACACTTTCTAGATTGCATATGTAGAAATGTGGTCCAGCCCCATGAAACAAATTTCCAAATATATAAATTAAATACTATTATTTCTAACAATATATAACATAAATTTTTTATTTTTATTTATGTGTAGACCTGGAGAAGGGATGGATTTAGGTCTAAGTTAGACTTGGTCAGCCCGAAGCCCATTGCGACCTCTATCATTAGTGGCATTTTGAAACAGAGTTCAAAATTTGTTAGCTGTTTTGTTCTCGTTGTATTTGTCTGAAGTACAAATTTCGAATTATTCGAACTTTGAAACATGAAAATTAAGCATTTGGGGAGTTCGATAGGGTGGCTCTCAAATTGCCCAAAATATAAAAATTGGTTTCAACGATTCAAAACCTCTGCAGATTTCAAACTGCCACGAACACAAAAATCGGGTGTTTATGCAAATTTGAAAAGTCCACTTTTAAGCCCAAAATGCGAAAAGGTATTTGTGAAAAGAAAGTGTATATTGTGTATCAGGTTAATATATAAAGTATATATTGCAATCAGTAATTATGGAAATGGTTGATAGAGTATCGGTACTTTATTATAAATTTAGATATGGTTTAGGTATTTATGATTTAGTTTCTATTATTGTCATTTGTAATTTGTAATTTGTCTATAAAAGACAAGTCTGTACATTCATATAAATAATGGACACAAAGAGTCTCTTAAGAGAAACCTAAGACTTTTCACATGGTAACATAGCCATATTCATTTTAGTATTTGTCTGAAGTACAAATTTCGAATTATTCGAACTTCGAAACATGAAAATTAAGCATTTGCGGAGTACGATAGGACGGCTCTATGATTGCCCAAAACACAAAAATTGGTTTCTACGATTCAAAAACGTTGCAGATTTCAACCCGCCACAAAGTGTTTTTGCAAATTTGAAAAGTCCTTTTTTTTAGCCCAAAACACAAAAAGGTCCAATTTGTGAAAGGAAAGTGTATATTGTGTATCAGGTTAATATAGAAAATATATATTGCAATCAGTATTTATGGAAAGGGTTGATAGAGTATCGGTACTTTATTAGGAGTTTAGATATGGTATAGGTATCTATGATTTAGTTTCCATTATTGTCATTTGTAATTTGTCTATAAAAGATAAGTCTGTACATTCGTATGAATAATGAGACATTCGTATCAGAGTCATATTCATCTTAGTTGTGTCCATTCCTCGTCCCTAAAGCATTGTCGCTAATTTTCAAGACGAGTATGTTGCTTACCCAGTCGGTGCAATTTTTGTTGAGTCGTGTTTCGACTCTTTGCTGAGTCGTGTTTCTATTTCTGATCTATCCTCTCTGCTAAGTCGTGTTTTGACTCTCTAATATGTCATATTTGCCCGAGTCGTGTTTCGACTTTCTAATTTATCTCTCTGTCGAGTCGTGTTTCGACTCTATGATCTATCTCTATGCTCTCTGATCGTTTTGATATTTTCTAAGAGTTCCTGAAGCCATATGTTTTCCAGGCTTGTTGATTCGTCGTTGCTTTCGGTGCTTATTGTTCAAGCAATTTGAGTATGCACCTGAAGATCCAACTGCTCGTTTCGGCAATTAGAGTTCATCAATGGGCTACGCGAATCCATTAGAACCGATGTACTGGCTAAACAACCCACATCTCTATTAGCTGCAATCGGGTTGGCTAGATTGTATGAGGCAAGGAACTTATCCCAGCGAAGGGCAAACCTACTAGCTCGAGGCATGGATCTCAGCCTGATCAACTGCCCAACCGTCCACCTTCTATACCAATAAAGAGAATGTCCTCGGCAGAGTTGCAAGAACGTAGAAACAAAACGCTTTGTTACAATTGTAAAGAAAAATTCATCTCGGGACATCGTTGTAAAAAGCTGTTTGTTATCAAAGTTTGCTTAGACGAAGCTGATGGAGACGTTGTCATGGATGAAGAATAAGCCGAAGACCTTATGGCAGAAAGACCAGAGATCTCTCTTCATGCCATCGCCAGAACCTGTGCACCTGAAACAATGAAGGTTAAAGGCAAACTAAGATAAGCAATCATTACTATCCTAGTTGATTCTGGCAGTACTCACAATTTTGTGAGTGAGAAATTGGCTGAAAGGTGGGATTACAACCAGTTTTTGGTGGTCAATTTGAAGTAATGGTGGCGTCTAAAGAAAGACTTGTTAGCCCAGGTAAGTGTACCAACATCCAACTTAATCTAAAAGGGGTTCCTATCATTGCTGATTTTTATTTACTACCATTACAAGGCTATGATGTGGTATTGGGGACTCAGTGGCTTCGTACACTGGGGCCCATTGTATGAGATTTTGCCAAGTTATAAATGAAATTTCATATTGAAGGAAAAGAGGTGGCATTGCAAGGCTTGTCCGCACCAGATAACGAAGTGGTAAGCTATTCATAGATGGAACATCTGGCTCGAAAGAAAAAAGGAGTTTTGTCACAACTGTTTTCCTTTGGGACCCCACAACTTCAGACCGCGAGCTCTCTAATCTATGTAGATTTACAGCAGCTTCTTGATAAATACAACGGAGTGTTTATTGAACCTAAGAGCCTACCACCTCCACGCATCCAAGATCATAAAATCCTCTACTGTCGGGACAAGGCCCAATCTGTGTAAAACCATATCGGTATCCACATCATCAAAAAGCGAAAATTGAAAAATTAGTAACAGAGATTCTATCTTCGAGAGTAATTCGTCCAAGCAATAGTCCCTATTCATCACCCGTCATCTTAGTAAAGAAACAGGACGGCTCATGGCGAATATGTGTCGACTATAGGGCTTTGAATAAAATTACAATTAAGGATAAATTTCCCATTCCATTGATTGATGAACTTCTGGACGAATTGAATGGCGCGTAATATTTTTCAAAGTTGGATCTTCGCTCAGGTTATCATCAAATTCGAGTGTTTCCAAGGGATGTGGAGAAGACAATATTTCGAACACATCACGAACACTATGAATTCGTGGTAATGCCCTTTGGTCTCACCAACGCATCTTCTACTTTTCAATCTTTCATGAACGAGGTATTTAAACAATATTTGAGAAAATTTATCCTTGTCTTTTTTTATGACATTTTAGTTTACTGCAAGACTTGGGTAGAACATATAAAACACTTAGAGTGTATTCTCTCGATTTTAAAAACCCATCAATTGTTTGTAAAGCATGAAAAATGTCAATTTGGCCAAAGGGAAGTTAAGTACCTTGGCCACAT